AGTAAGCCACATTTTTAATTCATTCTTCTATTAATGAAACTTTAGGTTATTTCTGGTTGTTTACCTATTAAAAATAATGTTACAATATAGATCTTTACCCTTACTATCCCAAATCTCACTATACAAAACCCAGAAACCAAGGATTACTTACTCTCCATGCCCTTAAGATTTGGACCTTAATTATCTAAGTTTAGGAGTCACATAGATTTTGAAAGCAAAAATAGCTGTACGTGATTTAAAAAGTACATCTGTAACAGTTTGCCAGGAAGAATTGCTAAATCATTGAATATCTCCTTTTTAAAATAAATATACGTTTTGGTAACTATTAACTATTTTAAGACACTAAAAAGCATACAGCAGCAGTGTCCAACACAGTAGTACTAGTCACAGGTGGGTATTTAAATTAAAATGATTTTATTTTATTTTGTTTAGCAACAGGGGTCTCATTATGTTGCTAAAGTCCCTGAAGCTCCCTACCTATCCTATTCCCTAACCTGCCTCCCCAGAGACAGCCACTATCCTGAATTGGGTATTTTTTTAGATTTATTATCATCAATACACATAGCTCTATTCATTCATTCTAGTTGCTTTACAGTATTTCATTTATATTATCTACTCTCTCGTTAATGGAGATTTAATAACGACCTACTTTCTAATGTGGCAAATGTGGAGAACTATAACCCACAAAAAACATTTCTTTGGTGTCCTCAATAATTTTTAAGTGTAAAGACCAAAAAGTTTGAGAATCACTGCTGTAAGTCCGCGAGGGAAGACTAACCGAGGATACTCATCAGACAACTTTACTAGTGAAGGAGTCTCTGTTTTTTTAAAAGACAAACACTTGAATATATTCTGTTTCTCCTTTACTTAGAAATAAATTATCACGAGCCATCTTTATTTGGAATGGAGGTCATTAGTTCTTAATGTCTGCTTGTATAATGTCAATTGTACAACTGGATGGAGAAAGTGTTTTGAATAAAAGTAGTCATTTGACATCCAACAAATAGTTAATGAATATCCATATGGTAAACTTACAATGGTTACTATGCAAATTAGAAATCCAATTTAGCATTTACACAAAGGTTTGCCTTTTTTTCCTGTGAAAAATACATCATTATCTAGAAATTCTGGGTGATGTTTTAAGAAAAATTATAAATGACCCACAGCTCACATAGCTTCCCATGGGACATTAATATGTAATTAATAGGCA